CATACACACACACATACACACACACATACACACACATAAACACACAGACACACATACATACAAAAAAATTCCTATTAATTGTGAATAAATAATCAATGAATAAAAATACAAATCTATGAGAATCGGCAAACTCGGGAGGCTAACACTTACTCCTTTGTATTATCACATATGAACTATATTATATATCATACAAAAGGCAAAAAGAGAAGGAAAAAAACAATGAAACAAAGATAAATCTTCAGGAATGATGATTTTGCGCATGGAAATGCACAAGAGGTTCAAAAGTCTTTTTTTAAAAGCATACAACAACAACCCATGAATTTTCATGTTACTACAGGAAATTTAATGATGCCTCCATTTTTTTTCTCAATTTTCCATAAACCAATTTTAGCATAACAATTTTCCAGAAAATGGAAGAATATATTCGTAGATCAGTGGTCAGCCTAATTTCGATCAAAACTTGATAAACTATTCGTTTGATTTCTTTTGTTTGAAGACCACAAATCATACGGACATCTGCTCTATCAATGGTAAAGTCTTTGGTTACTTAAATTTATAAATAACAAAGAAATGGAAACTGTGATGGAAAACATTAGCAACTATGATCGGAACTGATAACATGTGTTGTGAACATGTACTTATCGCCACAACCATGACCGCATAAGTTACATTTCCATGGATCAGAATCGGAATGCAATCCTTTATGCAAAAGATACAATGTCTGATCCATAAAAATCATCCCACAATGCATGCATTCCTGAAAATGATTGAAATTTATACAAAGGAAATATGAAATACGTTGGAAGAACTATAGAGATGACACTAAAAATAATATAATTTCAAAAAATGAACCTGTTGCTCCTTGTCTCCGCCTTCACCATCGGTAGCACTACTACTTCCACTGTCAACTGAGGGAGAATGAGACTGATCTTCTGTATTCTCACTACCAGCATTACTTGTTCGTGTCCATAACTGCTGCAATGCTGTTTCCGGTTTTATATCCTGAAACATAAGTCTGATTGATGTCTAAAAATCGGTATCACAGCAATAAACAAAGCAGTTATCATTATAATTGATTTCGAATATTTAAAAAAAATGTATATTACCGTAATAAGTGCTGGAGTATTAACATTTGATAGGGACAATAACCATTCTTCATTTGTCATACCATATCCAGTCTGAAATATGATGCAGTGGACAGAAACTTTTAGCGTAAAATACTCTAATGATATGAAAAGCAGAAAGAAGCTGGATCTTGAAAAAGCCCTTAGGGCTTCTTTTAGAAGTGTGTGTACCTGCTCATAATCCATACATCGAGGCACATCTTCATTAATGGACGGTTTCATGGATTCCTGTTTAATAAATTTCAATTGGTCCTGAATTGCGGCAAAAATAGTTTGCGCACTTGTGCGCCGTTGTTTCTTAGATATTGGTGACGTAAACGTATACATATCCTTTGCATTATTCTCAGATTTAGGTTTCACTGGCGACGTTACAACAACATTCGATGTCTGAAATGCAAATGATTGTTTGTAAACGAACTGATCAACATATTGATAAATGTTTTCCTCGATTCCAATTCCAACCTCTTTGTAAAAAAATAAAAGATATTTTAAAACATAAAACTTTTGATGTTTCGATTCTTTATGTTGCTCATTATTTAATATACAGTGCTTTAAAAAATTAATTTGCTCAATAGTTCTTCCTAATAAAAACCCAGAAATTCTTTTAAATATTTGCTGTATTATTGAAAACTGTCACCTACCAATCACCTGAGCATTTAAACTCTATTTATCAATTGAACTGGATCATAAAAATGTTATATGCTCTAGCACTTTTGAATTTACCAATAAAAAAATTTTTTACATTTCTCACCAAATTTATTGTTTCTTTCCTTTCTCAAAATTAATCCAGACTTTTTTTCACACTTCAAAATCGGAAGACTAAGAAATTATTTCTTTTTTTCTGGAAACATTTAAAATGTAGATTTTTTATTTCTGAAGTTTTAGACTTACATCACCCTCATCGTGTTTTGTTTGATAGTGTAACAGAAGACGTCGTGAGTTTGCAAACAGTAGTGAGCATCGTTTACATGATGCGGGAGTTGATGGTGCGATAGCATGCGCTTCATCTAGATGTGTTCGCAAGCTTGCGTGTTGACTGAATTGCTTATCACAGAGGGCAACTGGACAATCAAAATCAGCCCCCGTTTTTATATGGGTCATCGAGTGTTCTTGCATCTAAATTATGCAATAGGTTATTTGAAAGATATATAAGTTTTGAAGTAAAACGGCGAAAATTTGAGGAAAAAAAAGGTGCCGTTAAATGACACATTACATAACTGTAGATATATTTTATGCCACAGAAGCTTTTTTCAATTAAAAAAGTGTTGTTGAATGATTTTTTTTAGTCACAAAAAAATTTCAGTCATACGTACATTTAATGTTTTAACAATATTTTTGCTAATTCAACATGCAAACCTGATCTTTCCGAAAAAATTTTTTCAGGCAGTACCGACACTGATACGGTTTAACGCCCGTATGCCGCATTCTATGACGATGCATATTCGCTTTCTGGCTGAATTGCATATGACAAATATCACACTGATACATTTGTCCCTGATGGCGTTCATGTGCATCCTTTAAAACATAAGAATTATAAACGACTTAAAAATATTGAAGGTTTTCTAAAAACTCTGAAATGATTAAAAAAAACAGCGACATCAAAAGCCATAATCATAAAATTAAATAAACGATTCACATATTCGAAATCTCTTGGCAAATCTACCTTTGTGTTCTTATATATAAAGTCAAATGATTCCAACCATATAAAGTTTAACTAACAGATAAGTTAAGTGTAATATCTTAACGTAGCTATCTGACAGCAATACTCTGATTCCCTTATTGGCTACACAATTTTGAAGAAGTATTGAGCTCTAGCACATTCATATTTTATGTAGAATTTGAAAAAGAAATCGAAAAAAGAATTTGAAAAAGATATTTTTTAAAATACATTGAATTCAAATTAGAAATTTTTTTGTGATGAAAATTAAAATTACATTAGTATTACGATAAATAAGACAAGAATTGGGTTTTTTACATCAGAGATTTATCATGATTTGATTTTTTCCTTTGTTGTACCAGAATTCTGATCAATATGCGCACAAGAAACTTAATTTTCAATAGCCTAGAAATTCAAAAATATCCGTTAGAAAGAAATATAACAAAACTATCAGACAAACAAAGACATGGAGATTTTGAATCAAAAAATTAAAAAAAAAACTCGTTTACATGAACACCGGATAGTATAGAAAAGAGGATATCATGCCAGAAGATTAGCATGAAATACTTGTTAATAGAAGCATACATCTTCCAGGAAAGTGGAGCACTTTTTAAAGATCAAAAAAAAAATGTCTTCGGCTGAAAATAAAATGAAAGCTAACCAAATGACTCTTCATGTGTTGCGACATGCAGGTTTCAAAATTGCAGTGAGGACAAACATGCATAGTTTTGCTGCTGCTGCTGTTGCTATTGGTGGTTGTGGTTGTTGTTTTGGAGGTGCTATTATTACCGGAGACTGGTGGTGAAGAGGCGGCCGCCGGAGAAAACTGCTCGGGGGATGACAGGTTCGGCGTTGATGACAACTCGTCCAAATCCTCGTTCCATTCCTGAAAATCGTATCACCTTCCATCCCACAATACATGCACCAAACTAACTGGTTGTTCAATCCTCGTAACCACCGCACAACTACTCAAAATCGAGATCTAACAAAGAGCTCACATGCAAAGCGCTCCCCCTCCATCTATTTCACCAATCCATTCTTCACCTTGATCCGAAATACTCATCCCTATCCCTTCCTGCAAATATCAATAAATATGTCGTATCCCTTTGGTTTTTAAAATCAGAAATTTCACAAAAGTATCTCCATTTTTAAGTTTGAAGCACTTTTTAATCCTAAACAAGTTTGGAATAAAATTCCCCCATGAACCAAGTGACTAATATTAAATATATCCATAAGAAATTTCCCAGTTATATCATGCTAGAGAAGCGCAGGCATAGATAAACTCACCCGCTTGTAGTAATGAAAAAAAAAGTCTATACAAATGACTAGTTTTTCTTTTGCAGTAGTTTTTCATTAATACTGATTATCTCTTCAAAATTCACTCCTGTGCATATGCAGAGAGTAGGAGATAAAGAAGGTTAGAAATGAATAATTCACAAAATTAAAATACTGCTGATTCGCGAGTTTCTACGATAGAATTGTTGAACAGTAAATAAGGTATGCATTTTTTCTACATACTGTTCAACTCTATTCAACAGCTATAATCCTGTGCACTTTAGTACATATGCGTCTATTAGCAAAACGTTCAGATGTTTAAGAATTTGAATTTTAAAATCCCTTCTATTTCATTTCATCTCGTTGTATCCTTTCCCTATCACAATTACGTAGCAAACATGAAAATGTCTCAGGACGGCTAAAGAAAAGTATTCCAACAAAAAAAGAGAATTATCACAGACATCATTTTAAAATAAAACAATGCATTATAACAAAAGAGAAACCTGCCGACTACTAGTATTTGTGGTAGTAAGATGTCGCTCACTTTCATGCTGTTCAATGTGCTCCTTGAAATCACTAAAATTATTTGTCATAAAGCCGCACTGAGTGCACGCGTTCATGTCCTCCATCGTCATCTGCAAATCAAATCATTTATTTTCTTACGGAACCTCATTGAATCATTGATAGCCTGAATGGTAAACGAAATGGACGAAACAATGTGACATCTGGTATTAAGAGCTTCATTTCGCAATATCCGTGTTTATCTATCTTTTTCACTGCTCTTTTTAGTTAGCATTTCTTGCGGCATTATCTTCCACTCGTTTCATTAATATTGGGTCACATTTTTTACTGCAGAACCAACTTGTTTACAACTACTTTCGCATCAAAATTAAATGATGGACATATTACGATACGATAGGATCACTCAGAACAGTTGAGTCATTATGAGGAGGCCGAACAGTCTTGATAACCTTGATAACCTAGAGGTCATTGTTACTTCTCCATTACGATAGCGTAGCAACCGTCGTACAGTACAATGATAATAAAAGAAAATATGAAGTTTGTTTTTCAAGTACGAGATGTAGAATATCACTATTATGAGTCAATCAACTGAGTGTAATAGATATAATCATGCATTAACTGCGGTCAGCAAGTTGGATGTGATCAGGAGATATACAAGAACGAAATATTAAGGAAGCTTTGTTAATTAAAACGGACTCGGTGAGATATACGTCCATCATTATCTTTATTTATACATCCATCTGAACAACAATTATGTCTCACTTTAAAAGCACATAATTATTAATTACACCATCTTACCAGCGTTCCGCTCAGCAAGTGAGGCTGACGCTTGGATTTCAATCGCTCTCTGGAATGAATCAACGAGTTGCGCACAAACTGGTCTTGCAATATTAATACATTTGCAAAATGCGTATCTCGTTAAATATCAACGTACACAAATAGGCAAAAGACGAAAGGTATCACTAAAATTGAGAATTAATTCACTTAAAATCTAGCAAAATCTAGCAAATGTAGCAAATAAGCAAAAAAACAAATGTTTTACTTATTGTAATTCCAGTTCACTCATCTTCATAAGCCTCAATAAACAGTGCTAAAAGTATTCTTATATGGTAAAAATAAGGTTGGTGATAGGATTTGGCATTATTCACAAAGGTATATTTACTCTGTACAACATCCAGTAAATTCAAATATGAAACTTTACTTTAAAACGAAATAAAGCAATATCTAAATGTAAACAAAAATGAAGATGGAACTGTCAATAACTTAAATAACTGACGAGATTATTAGCTGAATAAATGAGTTCTGAAGGGAAGATATCAGCCACATAAATAACTTCATGAAATTGTCTCACATATATGCCCGTAAAAGAAAAAATCTTTCACTTCTTCAACAAATATTGCCCAAACATGTGACTAATTAGATTATAAGAAGCTAACGTTGAAATATTTTTATCAAAAAAAAAAAATGTGCAGTTAAGTAAGATGTGCGCCAACCGAATTTACATAATAATACTTTCATTTCAGATTTAGAAAAATAAAATTTATCGTCAAAATGAAAAAATATGAGCCTTAAATGGAACCTAAATTTAAAATAAAAATGAATTGCTGAAAAGAACTTGCTGCACACAAATCCAAAAGCTCTTCAGCAAGAATTTGCCAGAATGATTGAGAAAAGTGTCCGACTTCTGTTATTCCATGTGTATATTTTGTTTCAGAATAGTTTGTCTTAAATTGATTCGCCGTTGACGCCTAACTGAATCAAAAAATTTCTTATCCTCCACATGACTAAAAACTGATTTCACATACTGGATGCTATTTCAGTTTCGTCTCCAATTGGAACCATCCAGGAAACAAATCGCATGCTTCAAACAATCAACCAAAATATTTTTACTTCTATTTGTGAACTTAATCCAATTGTTTTCAAAATCAGGAGAAGTTGGTCACGATGCCATTTCAAAAGGCAGTAGGTAAAACTAGAATGATGTAGAAATTAGAAATAAAAAAAGAATGCCGATGAGGATGTAGGAATTTTTTTAAATCCTATTAAATTTTAATTGCACTAAATTCAATTCTCAATAGAAAGTATGATGATATTAGCATTAATAATATCACTGTTACCATATCACTAATTGTGCCCTGAAATTCAGTTCGTAATAGAGTTTAATGCGGCAAGATGGAAAAACTGGAAGAGGATTGGAAAAGAAATGAAGATGCTAGCGAATGTTGGATAACTGTTCAGAAGGCCAATCGAGAAATATGACCTTGATTCCCGTATTTGTGGCTGCAGTTCTTTGCTTGGTGCAACACTCTCTCTATTCTCTCTTCTATGAACAGGTATGCTGACCGTCTTATTTGTATTCCTCTCAGTCTTGTCATTCTCCACAAACTCCCATTCCTATTCTATCCGAAAAGGCAAATCCTGTTCAAGACGGAGATGGACCAAGAAGAAGGAAGTAATTTTCCAGTTCAAATGAACAACAGAATAAAGCTAATAAATCGTCTGAGGTGGGATAGCAAGATGATTCAAGTATCCGACAAAAGAATTATGTCGTGGAGTAGCGGAGTTATAGTGGACAATATGATGGACAACGCACAAGCAAGCATACGACCGACTGTGCAGTAGTAAAAGTACTTCATCTCCTTACTGTCTCTCAATCCAAAACTTCTTTACTATTCATCTCGACTCCAACAACACTACCTTCCGAATAGAACAGTTCCTCACGACCCAAACCAACGTCATATAACAAGCAAACAATCCACAATAATCATCTTAAAAACGGTCACCTCTACTTACCTCCATTTACTACTGTGAAGATTACATTCCACTTCCTTTTCAGCATTTCCAGAGCTTTACTTTTTTCTTCAAGGAAGTTCTAACTGGAAAATGTGTAAAACACAATCGAATAAAACTTTCAAATGTAAAATTTCATATTATCACAAATCTTATAATGACCGTGAACCGTATAGAAAGTATTTTGCAAATGAAAGTAAGAATTTATAAAATAGCATCTAAAACAGATCCTGAGAAAAATCAAATTGGGAAACTCGAACAAAGGACCGATGTATCATTTATCTCTTCTCACCGCGCTTAGCAACAGCTCATACCGATATTGGAGAAATGCTGCCCATTGCTATACAAAAGAATTTTGTCAAGATATAGAGACTGAATGTCATAGTGAGAAGTACCCCGGCGACCAGGTTTTTGGTGAACTTTCCACTATTATAAGTCAATGGATTATCAAATTTTTCGATGAGTTTCTTTGACCCAGAGATATTTGACACTCGACAGATCAGAAAGCCAAAAAAAAAACTGTTTTTGTTGGAAAAAAATTGTGATTTAAAATTTCAATCCATGCAGTGATTCTACCGATGGAGAGGAATAGAAGAAAGCGATAGAAGAAATGCCTTTAAATATAGAAAACAACGATGATATTTACGAACTAAACTAAGCGGGTACAGACAAATAAATATGGATATATACGAATAAATAAAATAAATATATATGTGTATCTATCTATATGTCTATATCTTATATAATGAAGAATGGAGTGGAGCTGAATAATATTGGAAGAGGGAGAGGATTTCAAAGCAGGTCTGAATGGTTGCAAACACCGTAATCCGGATGTATGTGTGTGTTTGGTGGGTGTATTGGACGTCGATCTCTGTTCGCAGATAACAAGCTATATGCGCGACGGGCTCAACACCCCGGGTACCCTTCCTGGGCAGACGATGTCCCCGCCCGTGTTTTCATGCCCGTCCTCTCCACATACACCACACTTCGGTCCATCGTGGAATACTCTCTTTAGCAACTCCTCTGCTTGTTTACTCCAACCAGTTACGCCATTTGGGAAGCAAGCTGGAGGGAATCATCAGTCCGTAATCCACACCTTTATCACTATTCAATTTACCATATTTATCGCTTTTACTGCGATGCTATTTGCTTGTTATCCATTATCTTTAAATTGATTTCAGTACAGAGCAAATATGCAGGGGGTAGTTGCCGTTAACTATTCGCTCAACGAGACATCCTACATTTTTGATGAAATTTAAAGCTTGTTCTCCATTCAAAATAAACCAATTTTAGACCCATACACTCCAACAGAAACAAAAAATGAGGTGATTATAGGAGATAATGATTATCAGTAGTAATCTAAAGATACAGATATCAACATTAGGGCAAGATGGACCGAAATAAAGTTATTTAAAAAGTGAAATCTATAAGATAGAATAGAAGCAAATTCAGCACTGAAATCCAACCTAAAGTACCAAAGACTGAAAAGAGTAGAGACAATATGGACCCAGAAATGTTGTGAGTCACTTACACATGAAATAAAAAAAAATTTGTCGATGACTGAATTGAATCATAGAAATTTGAAAAAAGATTCAAATTCAATAGGCAAAATGTAACTAAAATTGGAACTTACTCTACGTATTTTCGATTGAAATGTATCAAAATGGTGGGCGGTCAGTGACTCTCACGATTTTACACTTGCACTTCTACTTAGCTAACTTTGTAGCTTACTTCCAGACAAGAAGGCAGCCCGGTTGGCAGCGCCGTGATTGCTATCTGTGATTAAATCCTGTAAAATTTCATCTAGATTAAATGTTCTGGAAAAAAACGCAAATAATCTTAGACATAATGTCATATTCGGCATTTTATTACATGATGATATCAGCTCAAAAATCTAGAAATTCAGGAATAGCGACTAGATAAATTCATGTTTGCAAAAAACAGGTAAATGTGAAGAAAATTAGAATAAGAAATGAGGAAAACGAGAAGTTCTTGACATACATCATGATGCCTCTCAATATCTCCCAAACATTTGGACAAAACAGCTTATAAGTCATTTGAAGAAGGTAAAGCTGGAGTGGTAAGTTATTCATACCCGAAAGACTTGTAATCGTTATCCTAAATGGTTAAAGAAAAAAAGATAAGCAATTTTCAATACAAACTTACAGACCGAAAATACGAATACCAACAGCGTTGCCATGAAAGAAAAGGGTATTTGAAAATCTGAAAATTATTAGAATCAGGTAAATATATTTTAAATATGCTTATGGACAATGCAAGAAGTGATTTAAATCGAGGCGGACCTTTATTTAAATATCCTGCGTTGGAAGACACTAAAATTTTGCGGATTGTGTAGATTTTCCACTCAAGGAAAATGTGTTTTTGAAAAATGTGAATAAAATTGGCCAGAGATTAATATGAGAATTTGTTAAGACGAAAAAAAACACGAAATACTCATATATATGTATATATATATATATATATATATATATAT